GAAGCCGCAGGGGAGCGATCCCAGGGGTCAGCACCCTCTGCTTTCGCCTGTCACACCTACTGCGTCACCAGGGTCCCTGGTTTAGAGGTAACCATGTGCCTCGGTGGCGCAGCGGGTTGAGCGTCGGACGGTTAAGCAAGGCTAGCGGTTCGAATCCGCCCACCGCTCCGCAGGGGAAAGAAGAGGCCGCCTGCTTCTCTAAAGATGCACGGCCTCAGAATCCCCCGGATGCACTTCTTCCTTGTCCTGTAGGGTCCCGGTGAGTCGGAATCGACTCCACGGTCCGGTCTGAGTTTGGTTGTGGCAGTAATTCACTGAATCTCGTCCCACAGATGCCAGGAGCTGACACAACGACCCCGCAGGGGACTCAAACACGATGGCGAAGGTGGCTTGGTTACCAGGGCACGGGACAACCGCCTGCTGGCTGCCACCTGGCCCATCTGGGCTGGTCAGTCTGCCCCTCCCCTCCCCTACTGTCGGGGGGGTGGAGGGGTGGGGGAGAAGCCAGGTGGGAGGAGGGACTGATGCTCGGGCTCTCCCGGCTGATCGGACACTGAGGTTAGACAGGAACCATGTCCAGCCCTGGGAGGCTGCTTCTGCTCCTGCTGCTGCTGCTGGCCCCAGCCCTGGTAGGGCCCTCTTCGCTGCCCCAGCTGCACACCCCGGAGCGCAAGGCCACCATCGCAGGCCTGATCCTGCCCGCACTAGAGCGGGCCACTGTCTTCCTGGAGGAGAGGCTGCCGGAGCTCAACCTCGATGGCGTGGTGGGCTTCCAGGTGCTGCAAGGTGGGTGACTGGCCCAGGAGCCCCCGCTGCACCCTGACCTGCGCGCGGGTTCCATCAGCTACCCGGGTAGCCTGCTTTGACTCTAAGGGATGGGACAGAAGGGCGGCTTGCTCACATCACTGCCTGAGACGTAGACAGGTGTCAAGGCAGTACGAGAAAGGAGTAAGGGATTGTCCTTCTCCCATCGGGCCATCCCTTCTAGGATGGGATAGGTCCTTTCAATGGGAGTTTATGGGGTGACTGCTCCCCTGGCAGGACTGTGGTCCAGAGACCCTCAAGACCCAGGTCCCAACCCCAGCTTCCTCCACTCCCAGCCAAAACCCCCTGGAGCTGCTGTGAAAACAGTCCGATGTTTGTTCAGCTTTGAGAGGTTTCAGATTCCTGAGGAGTGGACTGGAGATGGGCCAAGGCAAACAGGGAGCCAGCCCCTCACCTGAGGGAGCCCCTCCCTGCAGCTGTCCACAGCCCGTGTTAGCCAGGCTGGCAGGCCAGGCAGTGGGCAGTGGGCATTCCGAATCATCCAGTTCTCTTGGCAGAGCCATTCCGCCCACCTGGGAACGCAGGATTCTGCAGGAGGTGCAGACCTGCTCCTGGACAGATCAGCATCTGACCCTGGGGCTACCTTGTGACTTCATGGCCACATGGCCTTTGCTAAGACCCCTCTGGTGAAGTCCCAGAGATGCCCACACCCAAACCCGCTGCTGTGCAGTCGAGGGCAACTCCTAGCAAAAGGCGGCAGAGAAAAGCCTCTGCCGAGAGCTTCCTGGGCTGGAATCTCTGGGTGACCAGGGGCTGGGATTAAATGACCACCCTTCAGTTCAGCAGTCATGCACAGATGGCTTGTGCCACCTCGACCTCACCCACTGCCACGGGGTCCGTGCCGAGTCCTAGCGACCCTGTTAGGACAAGCTAGAACTGCCCCCCAGGGGGGTGGGGTTCCGAGGCTGTCTTGATATTATCTTTATATCCAGCATCGATCACCTCCCTTTCTAGGGGCCCTGGGCTACGCATTAGGCCACTAACAGGAGAGTAGTTCCTTACCACCTGCTGCTCCGCGGAAGAAAGAGGCTCTGTCTAGTCCCAGACATCTACAGGGGCAGTTCTACCCTGTCCTGTAGGGTTGCTGAGTCAGCATGGACTCCATGGCCCCAAGGCTGGTTTTGGGGGTTTGGGCGTGAATGTTAAATCTCACCCCCTCTGGCCGGGGGACTCCTCCTTATGAGCTTGCAGGTTTGGGGAGCAACCAAGCACAAAGCCGCTCTCCGGGGGGGTTTCACGAGCTTACCTTTTCAGTGTCTTCCTTTTGTCCTGCTTGTTCTGTTTGTCATTCGGGCGTCCACCTGGCAGATCCATTTTCCACGCAGGCGTCCCTGCGCCCTTGGCTGCCAGGCTCTCAGTGTCCTCCCTGCTGCCGCTGGGGGGGAGGGGCCCTCGACTCAGTTCCCACTCCCAAGGGCGCGAAGCCCTCCCACACTGCCCTCACGTTCTTGTCACATAGGAGATTGTTGTTGCCTCCACTGTGTCCTCCCAGCCAGTTGGGGGGCATCCTTCTCGCCTGCTCCTTCCTGCTTTCTGAGCTTTGTTTGGGGGCAAACGCTGCCCTTTGGCTTGTGTGGTCGACGGCACTGAACTTCCTCATGCTCCCTGGCATGACACCCATTTGAGGGGCACGCGTTCACCCTATCTCCTTCACATTCAGAGATGCAGGTGGGGACTTTCTTGCAGATGCAGTGAGCAGCATGACTTAGCCCTTGGGCGTCGCCTGCTCACTCTGCGGGGTAAACTGTCGCCCCCAGTGCAGCTCAAAGGTGTCCAGGAGGCATGGGCTGGGGACCCCCAGCTGCGGCCGCTGAGCCAGCGCATGGGAAGGCTGTCCAAGAAGCTGGGGATCCTCCTCCGAAAATCCATCCCCTACCTGAAGCTCAGCGACCCTGCCTACCTGAGAGGTAAGTGCACAGCTGGAGTCCCTCCCTTCAGGGATGCGGGCGTGGGAATATTAACTGAAATCACCTGGACCAGGTGTCTCAGGTGCAGGGGAGGGTCGGAACCCCTAGGTTCCCAGGAAGGATCTGTCACCCCTGACTCCAGGTGAGATGGCCCCTGCTGCCCATTGAGAGGAGCTGGAGAGCAGTGAGGGTCAGCTTCCTGTCTCGGGGTGAGGGCTCTCCCTGTAGACCACGAGTCTGTCCCAGAAGGCAGCATCTCTAAGAGCACTGTGACCCAGTGGCAGGCACGCCCTTGACAAACATCTTGCTGGCACGTGTCTGGGGCCACACTCTGTTTATAGATGCGCCCTTCTCCCCAACATGGGACCCAGCCCTCCGGCCCTGGCTGAGGTCCTTCCCAGATGGGAAGGGGAACCTACTGCTGTTGAGTTGCCCCAACTCTTGGTGACCCCTGTGTGACCGAGGAGCTGTGCGCCAGAGCATTTTCCGTGGTTGGATTCGTGGAAGTAGTTTGCCACGCCTTTCTTCTGAGGCACTCCTGAATAGAGTTGAACCTCCACCCTTTCAGTCATCAGCCCATTGCTTTAACGGTCTACACTCTCCATCCCCCCAAATCTCACCTCACTGCCATCGAGTCGATTCCAACCCTTCAGGAGCCTACAGGGCAGGGCAGAACTTCCCCTGTGGGTTTGCGGGACCACGACTCTTTATGGGCGTAGAAAACCTCCTCTTTCTCCCTCATAGCGGCTGGTGGTTTTGAACTGGTGACCTTGCTCTTAGCAGCCCAGCTTGCAACCCACTGTGCCATCAGGGCTCCACTCCCAAAACTAAGGATCTAATCCTTTGGAGAGTTCTTCAGTTTCCACAGGGTGTCAGGGATTTAGTCAAAGCCAAGAACCCAAGTGGCACAATTTAAACACTCAGCTACTAACTGCAAGGTCATCAGGTCAAAACCCACTAGCTGCTCCAAATGTGAATGATGAGGCTTTCTGCTTCTGCAGAGATGTTCAGCCTGAGAAACTGTATTTAAAAAAAAAATCACTGCCACGGAGTTGATGCCAACTCACGGCAACCCTATGGGATGGGGTAGAGCTGCCCCTGTGGGTTTCTGAGACTGTCAGTCTTATAGGAGTGGGAAGCCCATCTTTCTCCCACAGAGCTGCTGGTGGTTTCGAACTGCTGGCCTTGCGGGGAGCAGCTCAGGGCAAACCACTGGCCACCAGTGTCCTCTAGGGGGCTCTGTGAGGACATAGCACTAGTCAATCGGGAGCTCTGTCAAGAGTGACAGTCTAGGAAACCCAGAGGGCAGTTCCCCTCTGCCCGTAGCGGTGTTTGGGGTTTGGCCCACTAGCAAAGCCTGGTGGTGATCAGTCGGACAACTTTTAAGAGAAAGTGTTCCAAAGCCAGTGGTCTCCCCACTAAAGAGGTCTGGAGCTCCGAGACCTCCCAGCACGGTGGGGTGCCCATTCCTCAGCTCTGAGCCCCAGCGCTTGGCTGGAGGTTGGTAAATCGCCTGTCCACACTGGTCCCCCACTGCCTGCCCCTGCCCCCAGGCCTGCTCCTTCCCCCTACAACCTGTGAGGGCTTCTTTCTCAACCTGCCCGGTGCCGGCTGCCTCGGCCTCTTCCGCCCTCTGACTGCTCTGTCCTCCACCAGAGTTCCAGCCAACCATCCAGTGGGGGTTCTGGAAGCTTCCCCACGCCTGGACCCGCACCAACGCCTCCATGGTCTACCCCACATTTGAGACTGAAGATTCCTTCTCGGAGGAACACAGCGACATGTGCCTGGTGCAGCTGCTGGGGACCGGGTGGGTTCTGCTGGGCCCCACTTCCTGCTTCTTGCCTTGTCCTCACAGCTGAACCCAGGAGGCACCCACACCTCCCTCTCCCATCCCCCACTCTGGCCTCCCCAGTCCCTGCACCAGCCAGCAGCCCACTAGCCCCTCCCTGCTCAGCCTGCCTGCTCAGCCTCCCCCAGCCCACCCGCCGACTCCCCACATCCCTCCCTGCCCAGGACAGATACCACTCGGCCAGAGCGGTCTTTCTGGAAGCCACACCTGGTTCTTAGGACCCCGCCCACACTCCAGCTGCCCCTCTCTGCCCTCCTGGACCCCAGCCCCTTTCCTGGGATGACCTTTCAGGGTCTTAACAGTCCCTCCCATTTCAAGTCACTGCCAAAGCAATTGTCTCTACACTCACACACAGTAAACACACACATTGACCACAGACACAAACCCCACACAATCATGTGCACAGGCATACCCACAATCACCACACAACATACACTCACACACACACCACACTCAAAATTACCACACACACAATCTCACCTTCACTGCACACACACATACTCTGTACAAATCACACCACACACTCACTACATGCCACTCAATCACCACACATGCACCCACATTTACCACACCCACATAGATTCACACCACACTCGTCACCACAGACACTCACACCTGCACACCCCCACATACACACGTGTTCACACCATACACCACACTGATTCACAATCACTGCACACACTCCTACACTCACACCCCACACACTCACGTTCACCACTCACAGTCATCACATACACTCATATACTCCCCTGCACACATCACCACTTACAGCCACTGCACACTCATCTACTCACACCACAATCACTCACCACCTACACTCACATTCACTTCAGTACACCACACACACTCCCACACTCATGACCTTACAGTCTCCCATCACCACACACACACCCCTGCCGACTCACGCTCCCCACACATGCACACATCTGCCTGGCACTGGCAGCCCTCCTCTTGTCCATCTGTGGGCCCAGAAGCTGTCAGGGCCCACCGATGAGTGTGGGCCATGCCTCTAGATCCTTCTAGAATCCCTCCCCCGCAGGACAAACAGCAGCCGGCCGTGTGGCCTCTCGGACTCCTGCAGGACGCTCATGACCAGGGCTGGCTGCTCGGGCTACTGCCTGTCCCACCAGCTGCTCTACTTCCTCTCCGCTGCCATGGTGAGTGGGCACGGCCCGCGGGGAGCCCTGGTGGCATGGCGGAGTGCTGCTAACCGGAGCGCAGCCAACACTGTGCTGATGATGGGCGCAGGCATAGGGACGATGGTGAGGGTGGCGTGGGACCGGCAGGGTTGCCTTCTGTCGTGCATGGGGTCACCGTGGGTCACAGCTGATTCGATGGCACCTAACAGCCACCACAACCGAAAGGTTGGTGGCTCTGCCCCACTGGATGCTCTGCAGCAGAAAGGCTGCATGAAGGGGCCAGCCTGGGAAGCCCCGTGGGGCACTGCCACCCTGGCACGTGGGCTGGGGGGAGGTGCTACAAGCAGGAATCGACTCCGTGACCATGGATTAGTGGAGGGAACGGAGCCCCGGGAGGTTCAAGTCCAATCCGAGGCTCCTCCGCAGAAAAACCTGGCAGTCATCTAAGAAACGACCCTGGGGCCCTAGGGGGCACAGCTTTGCTCTGACACCGGGTCGCTGGGCCAGCTCAGTGGGAGGCAGACCCGAGGAGCGTGGGACCTTCTCCGTCCGGAGCGGGGAGAACAAGGCCACGGGATGGACTGCCTGCTTGGATCCTGCAGTCATGAGTTGTTATGATTCTGTGGGCCTGCAAGCTTTGCACAGCTAACGGGTGCCAGGAAAACAAAAGGGGATGATTAAAAAAAAAGTTAAACTTGTTGCGGTCGATTCTGACTCCCTGCGCCCCTGGAGGACCACGGAGAACGGCCACGGGGTTCCGGGCGCTATCGATGGATTGATAGGGAGGCAGGCGGCCGCATCTCTCTCCTGCCAAGCCGCCAGCCTGCCCCTGAGCAGCCAGGCTCTCAGCCCCAGTGCCCCCAGGCCCCGGACGAAAGGCAGCCCCCACAGCCATCAAGTGCATGCCGGCTCCCTGTCCCTGTGGGTTCTCAGACTGCAGATCTGAGACGACAGGAGCAGACGGGCCCCACTTTCTCCAGTGGGGGGGATCGGTTTGTCGAACCCCTGACCTTGTGGTTAGCAGCCCAACTTGTGACCCGCCTCGCCACCGGGACTCCTCACAGCAGGTGAGAGACAGTAAGGGAATGAGAGCTCCAGGCATGGAACGCAGCCAAGGGCCGGGGCCCCATGTCTGGCAGCCAATTCTAGTAGGTGGACCAGGACAGGGGCTGCCGTGCCTGGGAGCAGGAAGAAAGAGGAGGCAGACACTGGAGATCCCTTGCAGAGGGTTCTCGGGGAGGAGATGAGCCAGTCAGGGTGCGATGTAACAACGATGAGAAATACAACTTTCCTCTAGTTCCTAAATGTTTCCTCCCCGCTCCCACTACCATGACTCGAATTCGATCTTGCAAGTCTGGCTAGACCAGAGGAGGTACACTGGTACAGAGAGGAACTGAAAATACAGGGAATCCAGGACGGATGAGCCCTATAGGACCAGTGGTGTGAGTGGCAAAACAGGGAGGGTAAAGGGAGAATGGGTAGGAAAGAGGGAACCGATTACATGGAACTGTGTGTGACCTCCTCCCTGGGGGACAGACAAGCGAAAAGTGGGTGCAGGGAGACGTCGGACAGGGCAAGATATGACAAAATACCCATTTATAAACTATCAAGGACTCATGAGGGAGTGGGGAGCAGGGAGGGAGGGGAAAAATGAGGACCTAATGTCGGGGGTTTAAGTGGAGAGGAAATGTTTTGAGAACGATGTACAAATGCGCTTTACACAATTGATATGTGTATGGATTGGGATAACAGTTGTATGAGCCCCTAATAAAATGTTTAAAAAAAAAGAAGAAGAGGCAGAACATCAACCTGTCCTGGCATTGTGGTCACTGCCTCTCCCTATGGGGACTTAGTGGCCCCCCTAAGGTTTGTTGTTGCCATAGACACCCTGTGAACAGGGAAGGACGCACGCCTGGGCCTGGGCCTGGGCCACCCTCGCCGTCCGTCCGTGTGATGCTTGAACCTGGTGTGGTCGCCCCTGTGGCCGTCCAACCTATCAAGGGCCATCCTCTTTCACTGACCAAGCACAATGTCCCTCTCCAGGGACTGGCCTCTCCCGACAACATGTCCAAAGTACGTGAGACAAAGTCTCGAACGTCTTCCGAGACCGGTCTGTTGGTCCTTGTGCAGTCCATGCACGGTAGTGCCAGGGTTCTTCTCCAGCGCCCTCATTCAAACGCATCGTTCTCCTCCGGGCTTCCGCAATCAGCGTCCACCTTTCACATGCAGAGGAGGCGATGGGAAATCCCCTGGCGGGGGTCAGACGCACCTGAATCCTCAAAGCGCCCTCCTGAGGGTGGAACGCTCTTAAAACAGGCGGGAGGAGATTGAGCTCCGGTTTCACCTGTTAGCTTCAGCTTCATTTTTAAAAAGAAGGTGGGGATTGCTGAAGGAGGGAAAGGAAGAGGCCTTAAACACGGCTGGTCCCGGCCAGCCCCCATGGGACGGCCCTGAGACCAGAGTGCACCGCACCCCCGTGTGGCCCACACCTGGGCTGGGCCTCTGTGTCCGTGGGTCCCTGTGGACAGAAGCCAGGCTGTGAGGGCGCTTGGTCCAGAGCACGGCCTCACGAAATCACAGGGGACATTTTGAAATACAGGAGGATAGAAAACAAGCAAACAAACTCACGGCCACCGAGTCGCTGCTGACTCAGGGCAACCCTACAGGACCGCGTAGGACTGCCTCCGTGGGTTCCCAAGACGGAGACGCTGCGGAATAGCAAGTCCTGTCTTTCTTCCATGGGGCGGGTGGCAGTCTCAAACTTCAGACCTTGTGGATCACGGCCCATCTCGTGACCACTGCACCACCAGGGCTCCCGAGGCGAGGGTAAATCAGACAACCTTGCAGCCAGGTGCCCGTTCCTGCCCCCCAAACAACCAGGTGTGAGCGCAGCCCTGAGATCAGTGGCGGCTGCAGGCATCGCTACACCTGCCTGCCGTCATCAGGGTGCCCTCAACAAGATCCCCTCAGACTACGGCTTCCAAGGGCATCCGCTGGCCAGTCACACTTGAGGCCCAGGGAGCTGCTCCGGAAGCCTCCGCAGAGCCACCTTGATAGGCTTTTCCCGGGGGACACAGGACAATCATGAGGGCTTATGAGGAAGAAGTATTTTTTGAATTCCAATTAAGTGAAATGTTTTTAAATCATTTTATTGGGGGCTCATACATCTCTTATCACAATCCCAAAACCATCCATTGTGTCAAGCACATTTGTACATCTGCCATCATCATTCTCAAAACATTGCTTTCCACTGAGCCCTTGGTATCAGCTCCTCATCCCGCCCCCCATCTCATGAACCTCTGATAATTTATAAATTATTATTACTTTGTCATGTCTTACACTGTCCGGCATCTCCCTTCACCCACTTTTCTGTTGTCCATCCCCCCAGGGAGGAGGTTATATGTAGATCCTTGTGATCGGTTCCCCTTTCTACTCTCCTTCCCTCTACCCTCCCGGTATCGCCATTCTCACCACTGGTCCTGAAGGGATCATCTGTCCTGGATTCCCTCTGTTTCCAGTTCCTATCTGTACCAATATACATCCTCTGGTTTAGCCGGATTTGTAAGGTAGAATTAGGATCATGATAGTTGGGGTAGGGGGAGAGATTAAAGAATTAGAGGAAAGTTGTATGTTTCAATGGTGCTATACTGCACCCTGACTGGCTCGTGTCCTCCCCACAACCCTTCTGTAAGGGGATGTCCAGTAGCCTACAGATGGGCTTTGGGTCCCCACTCCGTACTCCCTCTCATTCACAATGATAAGGTTTTTTCTTGTTCTTTGATACCTGATACCTGATCCCTTTGGCACCTCGTGATCACACAGGCTGGTGTGCTTCTTCCATGTGGGCTTTGTTGCTTCTCAGCTAGATGGCCACCTGTTTATCTTCAAGCCTTTAAGACCCTATATCTGTTCGTAGCTGGGCACCATCAGCTTGCTTCACCGCCTTTGCATATGCACTCGCTTTGTTTTCAGCGATCATGTCGGGAAGGTGAGCATCATGGAATGCCAGGTTAATAGAACAAAGTGTTCTTGCATTGAGGGAGGACTTGGAGTAGAGGCCCAGGGGAGGAAGAACTTTTAAGGATGTGGAAAACGGCACTGGTGAGGGAAGAGGCCAGGAAAGTTTCCCCGGGAACTTTCTCACCACAACAATGCACCGGCTCATTCTCTGGGAGAAGCAGGGCTGAGCTGTGAGGCTTTTATGGGGAAACCTTCTCCCATCTCCCCACAGCCCTGCTCTTGCCCCTGCAGGCTTCTTTTTGTCCCCCAAGCTCCAAGGACATTGGAAAGGAACGGTCTGAGTGGCTGCAGGAGGCCACTCTCCTGATCCAGGGTGACCCACAGCAGGCTGACTCACAGGGGCAGAGCTCCTGGGAAGGGGCGCAGAGAGATAGAAACGCCCCCGCCCCCTCAGGAGTAGAGAGACCTGAGGGAGAAACATGGCTTCGCCTGAGGGTATTTTTGTTTTGTAACGGTTCCTGTGGTTTTATGGGACACTTGCTGACTTCCCTTCATCTGTTTCTGCCCTGTGTGCAGAAGGTTCAGCTCACTGGCCCGCTGTAAAAATGTCAGCCAGTCTCCCGGAATTCCTAGCCAAGAAGCAAGCAGTTTGCTGTTTCCATTTGATGGTTTATTATCATTATTTGTTCTCAAGCTGTCACAGACTTTTGTAAAATACTGAAAAATAAGGACGCTAATGGAAATCGACAGAAAATGCTCCCGGACGGGTGTCATATAGTCGTTTCTCAAGTCTGCTCTGAACTCCTCGGTCGATTTCACATCACCACCGTGAATCAGAATATGCATTTGTGGCAGCTAATGGTTTTAGTAAAAGATAGGACTTTAAACTCCTGTAAAGAGTTTCCATCTCGGAAACCCACAGGGCCAGTTCTAGCCTGCCCTGTAGGGTCCCGATGAATCAGCATCAACTCTGAGCAGCGGATTTGGTTTGGTTCCTGGTTTTAGAACATTCCCAATGGGGGCCTTGTCTCCTCCACCCACGATCACCCTCTAGTTCAGTCCCTCAAAGGTGACGAGCCTTCTGCCACCCAGAGCTCAGAGGGCTTACTTAACTTAGCCAACCAAGGTCACTCAGCAAGGCAGCACTCAAATTCAGTGCCCTCCAGTCCAGAGCAGTTCTCCGGGGAAGGATCTCAAACAAGCCAGGAATGGCAGTGGGGAAGGCAGGGAGCCCATAGACTGGACCAGGCCTCCTTAGAAACCCCCACCCCCACCGGCCCCAGCACGTCAACATGTGCCATGGCCCTGACTTCCTGGTCTCTGGTGTCTGTCCCCCAGCTGGGCTGCACAGAGGGGCTGTTTGCCCAGAGCCAGCACTACATGCACCTCTTCTGTGCCAACATGATGGACCTGAACCGGAGAGCTGAGGCTGTCGGGTACCCCTACCCCACCCGGGACCTCTTCATGGAAAACAGTGAGCAGAGCTCCCTGACGTGGGGCATGCACACGCACACACACGTGTACACACCAACGTGTGCATACACACGCACACAAATGGGCACACACAACACGGGCATAACAAAAATGGCACACAAATGTTTGCACACGTGTACACACAAATATACTCACAATGCATACACACACGAACACCCAAACATGCATTTATGTACAAACACACATGCATGCATGAACAACCGTACACTTGCAAGTAGTGTCCAGACCTAGTCAGTAAGAGTTGTAGATTCCCAGTTGCATTTGAGTTTCTGATAAACAACAAAATGGGTTTTTTCCCTAAGTATATCAGGTGTCACGGGGGCTTTACTTACACAGGGAGCCTCGTGAAGGGGCGCACGCGCCCACTTGGAAGACCCACCTTGCTTCTCTGGCTCTCCCAGGCTCCCCCTCGGACAGGGTGCTGTTTGTGCATTGTGGCACAGCTCACGCTAGTGGGAAACCCTCACGGTTTCCTCCTGTGGCAGGCCCCCCGCTCACAGGCTGGACCATGGCACAAAACCATGAGGCTCAGATGTAACCGGTGGCAAACCTGACACCGAGGCCCCGCCCCACCACTGACCGCTGCTGGCCTCCAGAGGCTGGCCCAGTGACAGGGCCCTGGACAGACGGAAAGAGAGAGACTCGGAAAACCTCCACGATGAGGCCGATTGTGAAGTCGAGTTTCAGGTCGAGGGCACTCATGACTCGTAGAGGAGTCCCATGCACTGTGTGTACAGAGCACATCCCACTCCCCTTGCTGGCACTGTGGGGAGCAGGGCTGGGTGCCAGGGCTCTTGGGCTGCCTCTTGGTGCTGGAGCCACCAGTTGGTGGGGGGAGAGGAAGGGTGTGCACAGAGGCCATGGCTGCAGGGTCTCCCTCTTTGCTCCCAGTCATGCTCTGCGGAATCGGGGGGTTCGCAGACTTCTACAAGCTCCGGTGGCTGGAGGTCCTCCTCAGCTGGCAGAAGCGAGAGGAAGGTTGCTTCGGGAGGCCAGGTAAGTGGCGCTGCTGGCCAGGCTGGGAGAAGGATGGGGTGTGTTGGGGACGCAGAGGTGTGTTGTGCTCTGTGACACAACACGTGGGCACACCCCGGGGAGGAGGGGCTGGGAGCTCTGGAAGCCAAAAGTATGCAGTGGTGATCTTCCATCACTCGGGAAGATCTTTGATCAGAAATAGATCGCCAGGCCTTTCTTCCTCCAGCCCTTCCGCTATGCACCTGCAGAGGGAGTGCCCAGCACACCCCCAATCACCAGCCAGGGCCGTTCAGATCCCAAAAGAAACCACCGTCCCCAAGTCCCTTCTGACTCACTTTGGCCCTGTGCAAGGTGTCCGAATCTATGAATGTCTGCAGACGCAGTTGCCGCATCTTTCTCCCACTGCCTGGTGGCTTCGAACTGCCAGCCAATGCTTAACCTGATAGCTCCCTTAAAAAAAAAAGTAAGATACCCTCATTTCACGTATTGCCAACGAGTTGGTTTCAACCACAGTGGCCCGAGAGGTAGGGCAGACCTGTCCCCGTGGGTTTCCAAGACTGACTCTCTCCAGGAGTAGGAAGCCTCGTCTTCCTCCAGCAGAGCAGCTGGTGGTTTAGGACGGCTTGCCTTGCAGTTGGCAGCCCATCGCATAACTCACTTGGCTACCTATGGGAGGGATATATAAAGTGCAGCCGCCCGGGCCCTGATCCTAGAGCTGCAGCAAGCCAGGGCTGAGGCCGACAACCCTGCAGCCCCTCCAGTGATTCTGATGGGGCAGCGGGGAACCGTGGTAGGAGGAAGGACACATGTCTAGATGAAGCAAAATACCTCCAGACAGGTGTGAGCGGGAACTTCTGGGGCGCCCCCACCCCCAGTGATAGGAGGAGACTGAGGTATCTGAGGTGTTTCCGAGGCATCAGCAAGTCAGTCAGAAAGCTCCTCTAGATGCCCTAACTCAGATCCCTGACCTTCTCCCCCTTAACCCCCACCCCATCTCCATTCCCAAAGATGAAGAATTCCCAAGAGGCACTCCATACCCCCAGCAAGGGCTGAGACGAGTGAAGAGGCGAGAAAAGGAATTTACAGGTACTGGGAATGCCCAGGGGCATCAGTGCGCCAAGTGGAGGCTCCCAAGCCAGACGGCTGGAGCCCTGGTGGTGCCATGGTGAATGTGCTAACCACAAGGTTGGGGGTTCAAAGCCACCACCAGGTGCTGCACGGGAGAACAGTGCGGCCTTCTGCTTCGGAAAGACCTACGGCCTTGAGAGCCCCGTGGGGCAGTTCTACTCTGTCCTCAAGGGCCCTGAGTCCAGCTTGCCAGCATAGGCCAGGTCTGTGCTTACCTTGTATCCAGGTGGACAGTCCTCAATGTCAGACAATCCCCAGCAGCACTGAAGGGGTCAGTCTCTACGCACAAGGGACTGACCACTGTCCAGTCGAGCACCATCCCCACAATCGGCTTCAAGGAAGTACCATACCGGGCAGCCAGGGATGCCCCTGGTGTGTGGGGACGTGGATCACCAGGTCTTTCTTCCTGGTCTGTCTCAGTCTAGAAACTCCATCGCCACCTGTCCACCATGGGTGGCCCTGCTGGTATTTGCATCGTGGTGCCACCACAGACTGGGTGGTGGGGGTCATTTGGGAAAGGGAAAGGGGGCTGCAATGGTTAAAGACGGTTCTGGAGAAGGAGGCCAAGATTCCCAGCAGCAGGGGTAGGGTGGGCCCAGGAAGGGAGTCTGAGCAGGGTGCCACCCCTGCCTATACCCCGCTAGCTGGCCGAGTAATGGTAGAGATGTACCCAAGCCAAACTCACTACAGCTCTATAGGGCAGACTAGAACTTCCTCAGTGGGTTCCGAGACTGCCATGCCCCACCCACAGTGCCACTGGGTGAGGGACCACGTTTTCTCCCCAGATGGCTGCTCTGCCCACAACACCGCCATGGCAGCCGGAGCCCTGGGCGGCTTCCTCTACGTCCTGGTGGAGCAGCCCCCAGCTCGAGTGAAGCCACCGGAGGCCAGCAGCTCCCGACAGACCGGCCCTCGCATGCCACCTGGAAGACGAGGCCAACCCCTGTAGCCCTCTTAGGGGCCCCAGATACCCCATCGGGAGGGAAGGCGGGGGGATGAGAGGCAGTGGGGGCCAGACTGGAGGATCCAGACCTGCCCCTCCCTCTACTCCAGCAGTTGGTGGGGGTGCACATAGCTCGATTCTGAGGGTCCATGGGGCTTGTAGGAGCTTGGGCCCAGGCCAGCCCAAGCCAGCCTGAGAACCTGCCTTCCTGGGAGACCAGCATGGCCCTCCCAATAGCTGTCCCCTCCCCTTCTGCAGCGACTTATGTCACGGGGGGAATCCCTTCTAATTGGAGGCAGTCCCCCTCCCTCAGCTGGGGATCTGTAGCTGCAAGCTCTTGCTTATCCTTCCTTGGGGCCTGGGCCCACCCCTGCGTCCAGAGCAACGTCAGTCTGGGAGAAGTTGTTATCTAGCTGAATAAATTCAGAGTGGGGCTTTGCTGTGAGTTGGTCTCCTGTCTTTAAGGCGACCTCAGGGACCTTCAGGGACACTCTAAACCAGGGCACCCCCGGGTGCATCTGAGCTGAACCACACTCCACAGGGTTCTGAAGGCTGGGTTTTGGCACCCAGTGTTTTGCGTCCTTGCACACAAACACACACAGATCACCACCAGAGACCCACCAACTGGGATCTTGAAGGGCGGCTGTTCAGACGCCAACAAGAGGGGTGGTGCCACAGGAGGTAGGGTTGTCCGGTGCAAATCAGCGTGCCCCATGGGGTGCCAACACTGGGTCATGATTGGAAAGAACCTCTTCAGGAGCCAGATTCCAGGTTTGGGTGCTGACTCGAGGGATGAGCAGCACTCACAACAAGGCAACACAATTCCCCCAAACACTGCCATCAAGTGGATTCTGGTGCATAGTGAAATCCCCCCAAACACAGCCATCAAGTGGATTCTGGTGCATAGTGAAATCCTCCCAAACCCCGCCATCAAGTGGATTCTGGTGCATAGTGAAATCCTCCCAAACCCCGCCATCAAGTGGATTCTGGTGCATAGTGATCACAGAGGGCTTCCGGGGCTAACTCTTCCTGGGAGCAGGCAGCCTCCTCTCTTCCCCAAAGCAACTCCTGGGTTTGACCTGTGAGCTGGCTAGTGCTTAACCTTACGGTGCCAGCAGGGCCCCAAACACCAAAACCCAAACTCAGTTCTGCCACAGGCCTTGTAGACAGAGTGGCCCTGCCCTGGTGGGCTTCTGAGGCTGTCGACCTTTACGGGAGGAGCCCTGGGGGCATTGTGGATTGTGAATTGTGCTGCTAACTGCAAGGTCAGTGGTTCGAAACCAGCAGTCACTCCTCGGGAGAAAGATGAAGCTTTCTACTGCCGTGTATAAAGCGTAACAGTCTCGGAAACTCACAGGGACAATTCTGCCCTGCCCTATGGGTGGCAGTGAGTCAGAATCGACCTGATGGCAGTGAGTTAGGCTCTTTGGTTTGGAAATCTTCACAGGAGCAGAAAGCCTCATCTTCCTCCCGAGGAGCGGCTGGTGGGTTTGAACTGCTGACCTTGCAGTCAGCAGCCCCACATGGAGCCCACTGGGTCTCCAAGGTCCCATGGACTCTGACTGACATGCCCAGGACAACCAGCTGAAACTTCTTTAAGACTGCCATCCCACGGCTTCCGGAAAAGCCCGGAGAGCGAGGTCCCATGTGAAGGAAGGCATCCTTTTGGCAACCGTTGTATTGTGATCTGCATGGCAGTCTCCACAGCAGGTTGGCTTGCTGGTCAACAATTCACACACACACTGTGCCTCATGACACGGATGGCAGTTCCCACAAGGCCACAGCACTCTTCCGGCTTCCCCATTTCCCACGTCTTTCTTATCTCCTCCCTCCTCCTTTCCTGCCCCTTCCCGCCTCCTGAGCTTTCTCCCTTGTCACACACAGCCCTTTGACCCTGGTGGGCTGATTGTTCTGCAAAGCGTGTCTCCCTAGTGTGACTTTATCCTCACTGCTGTGGCCTCGGCACCGGCTCACAGCCCCCATGGGTTTTTGAGACTGTAACGCTTTATGGGAGAAGGAAGCCCCATCTTTCTCCCACGGAGCAGCTGCTGGTGGGTTATACAGTGGACTAATATGTCCTGAGAATGATGTTATAAACATCCAATGGCCATTGGCAGCAAAAAGGCTCAGCACCCTGAAAAGCTTTCCTCTCCCCGCCCCCGACACGCTCTCTGGGGTCCTGTCCCTGAACAAAGCGCTTTCTCTGACGCTGTTCCAGGCTCTCATGAACAGCTTGATTGGATTTTTGACAGCACCCCGCCCCCACCCCCCTGCCCGGAGCCTGGGCTCAGGCTGTGATCCCACCGGCATTAAGTTTCCTTTCACATTGCCTGGCAAACATAAACTCACCAGAAGAGCACCACATAAATGGATTGGGGGAGGGAGGGGCACATGCCCCCCACCCCCCACCCGCTTCCTGATCCTGGAAGGGATTAAGCCCTGGAGCTTGACAGGAGGATGTTCTAAAAGGCTTAAGTCGCTGCCAAACCGGGGTGGGGAAGGCCTAAGGGAGAAACATGAGCTTGTAAGTCACTTCCTGGGAGAGAGAATCATGCTGCAGGAGGTTGCTGATGCTACTAGGGCCTTCCCAGCTGGGGCTGGGCTCACAGAGACCCAGGGGACGGAGTGGCACTGTCTCCCACCAGGTTTGCATTTTGACAGAGGCCGCCTGCAGGCTTTCTCCACGGAGCAGGTGGGGGTAGGTTAGAACCGCTGACGTTTCTGTGTCACCCACGGCGGCGGCAGGGCCATGGCATTCTCAGATCACCCCCACTGAAAGTGGCAAGGATGAAAAGACCACGACAGGACAGTGGTGAGGTGGGTGGGGAAACGGGAACCGTTCACTTGCTGGTGGGACCACAGCATGGCACAGCCGCTGTGGAAATGATTTGGTAGTTTCTCAAAAGGTTGAACAGGAATCACCCTGCCCTAGGGCAACACCCAGAATGGGAGAAGGCAGGAACACCAACAGAAACCAGTGTCCCGGTGCTGGTCCGGCCCCTTTCACAATCGGTCCATCAAGAGATGCATCAAGAGAAGCAAAAACGTGGCACTCACATACAGTGGAATGTTGTTCGTGTTACGTTGTGGGAAACTAACACTGAGAGAAATATGACGAGGACGATATTCCCTAACTTATAACAAAGGGACTCTGGAAAGCTAGTATTCCATGGTGGGAAAGCCACCACTTTGGTAAGTTTGAGACAAAGTCCAAGTACATGATCCTGCTTTAAATAGCGTTCCCACAGATTCTCCCCTAACAGCTATGCTGCCTTAAAGTGAGCACATGGTTGATTTTATCTCCCTATAGAAACAGACATCCTTTTATCCCGCTGTGTCACCCAGCCCCCCTCACACCTTCCCCCAATGCAGGTATTAGTTCCCTCACTTGTGAGCTCAGGGACCTTACTGTAGATTCCCCCCAGCTTGTGATGTATGTAACACGAATATGCATGCCCTATGGCTACCTATAAATAACCCAAAACAGTAAAGACTCTCTGTTCTCCCACCTCCACGTGGACCCCCAAGAAGAGCTGAGGTGAGCATGCTACCATGAAATGTGTCTGCCTCCTTCACTGTACTCTCACTGCTATTGTTCCTATTTTCTATGGCTTTACTATCCTCTTCGTATATAATAACCGGACAATTGGGCCTGCTGACCCACGGTTGTTAGAGGTGGGTTGCCTCTGACAGGTGCCATCCAGTTGGTTCTGACCAGTGCCCACTCCTGCGCCATCCTCACCATTGTGCTTGAGTCCATGGTTGCAGCAGTGTCCACCATCTCCTTGAGGGCCTTCTTTGTCTCCGCCCTTCCACCTTACCACACAGCGATGTGTTTCTCCAGGGACTGGTCTGTCCTGATAACGTGTCCAGAGTATGGAAGGCAGTCTCACCATGCTTGCCTCTAAGGAACACTCTGGCTGTACTTCTTCTAAGCCCGATCCGTTTGTCCTTTCAGCCGTCCCTGGTACTTTCAATGTTCTTTTCCAGCACCACAACTCAAATGCATCGATGAAGCTTCGGTCTAGTTGATTCAGTGGCAATTCAGAGACTGTGGCTTGGGCCAGGCACGCCTCAGTCCTCAAGTCACACCCTGCTTTTCAATAGTGTAAAGTGGAGTATCACTGAGCTGTACCTCCCTATAGGGTCCCTATGACTCAGAGTCGACTCCCGAGCAGTGGGAGTTTATTGTCACTACGTTAAAAAAAAGAGAAGAAACAAAAAGCATCTTTTAAGACAAGGAAAAACAGACACTGACATCAAGCTGATTCGGACTATAATGACCTGCTCTCCCCCCCACCCCCACCCCCAGCCATGGTGGCATTGTGGTTATGAGGTCAGGCTGCTAACTGCAAGGTCCGTGGTTTGAAACCACTGGCTGCTCCTCAGGAGAAAAAGGGGGCTTTCTACTCTCTAAAAGAGTTACATTCTCGGAAACTCACGGGCAGTTCTACCCTGTCCTAGAGGTCACTAAGAGTGGGCTTCGGCTTGATGGCAGAGAAGGAGCGTAGGGCAGGGTATAATTGCCCCTGTGGGTCCATGAGACTATGAATCTTTATGGGAACAGAAAGCCTCCTCTTGCTTCTGCGAAGTAGACGGTGAATTCAAACTGCCGACTGTGGTCAGCAGCCTAACAAGTAACCTACTACATCACCAGGGTTCCCTCATTAGCGTTAGGGAGCGTCTAGTGGTCTCAAAGGAAACCTGGTGGTACAGTGGTTATGCCCGTTGAACTGCCATCCGAAAGGTCAGCAGTTCAAAACTGCCAGCTGCTCAAAACTGCCAGCTGAACTGTGGGAAAAGGATGGGGCTTTCTACTTCCATAAAGAATGTCAGCCTCAGAAACTCACACGGGGCAGTTCCACCCTGCCTATAGGGTCGCTATGCATCTCCATGGACTCGGAGTCACCAGCCACTACACCACCCAGCAGGATTCTCGTGTTTCACAGAGAAGGAAGGAGTCTAAAAAGACAGGCTTTGGTGAGGAGCAAACGGTGAAACAGCGCGGGCCGCTAATCCAATGGTTGGACCTTTGAGCGCACCCAGAGGTGATCTACTTACAAAAACGTAAACGTCAAGAACCCTAGGGAGCGCGCTTCTATTATGGGGTCTTCCTGGGTCCACTGGACAAAATTAAATGCACCTGGTTCGCTCCTGGAAGGGGCAGGGTGGAGGTGGTGGCTTGGATACAAGCTAAAGGACATTACAGGGGTCCTGGGCAGAGCTGGGATATGAACTGTGAGCTAGAAAGCCAACACACCTGCTCTCAAAGTGCAACGTCCTCTATTCGGATTGGCATCGAAAAATGAAAATAGCCTTTGTTCTTAGGAAACTATGGCTCCTAGTTGAGTCATAGCTCAAGACTGATTTACTCTCCACTGGTTCCAGGGGTTTAAAAACAAAAAAATAACTACACGGATTACAAATGATCAAGCGTAATCGGTGACTCGGAGGGGAAGTTAGTTAGTTAGTTAGTTGCAGTCCCCTCTCAAGTTCCGGCACCATTGGAATTGGTGCGGGGTGCCACCCAGTGGTCCCGCCGCCCCGTCACGACCCAATGGGTGTTGCGAGATGAACGTTAGCTCCTCCCCAACCCGCCCCCACGTCTCCCAGCACGGAGGGGGAGGCCTTGCGAAAGCCGGAAGGCGCAGGCGCTGTCCGCGGGAGCGACGGCTGGCCCCCAAAGGTGCCGGGTCACGTGCGGTGCGCCCACGTGACCGGAGCCCGAGCCCAACATGGCCACCTCCAGGGCTCGCTGGCGCCTCTTCCTCGTCGCGCTGCTCGGCTCCCTCGGGGCGACGTCCGGGGACCTCGGCTCGGGGTGAGT